TGTAAACATATTCTAGTATCGGTGAAGTGTCAATTCATACAAATATTATCGATATAATTATTCTTGAAATTTAAATTTTTATAATAAATATTTCGCCGATAACAAAGTTAAAGTATCTCTCGGTATAGCAGATAACGTTACCGACAAAGTAACGGTGTTCCTCCACTTCTCACTATGTATACATATATATATATCTAGTCTTCCTAGGCCAGTGTGAGAAACCCAGAGACACCGAGCGCGGCGCGACCCGTGTAGAGCGCACATAGCGCACACACACGCACACAAGTTAAGACGTTTACACGCACAATACGCTGAGTAGTGCGGTACCGTACGGCGGGTTACGTATTCGAGTCGGTGGTTTCTGTTGTTCCTTCGACGATGCCCTGGTGATAGCGACGAGATTTTGGCACCGTGACTGCGCCACCGAATGTCCAAGGATCGGTAAGTCTACGGTGAAACCGCGACGCAGCCGATACGTCGCGACGGCGACGTCCGGGCGATCAATGCGTTCTCGCGGGTGTGCCCCGCTTTTCGCCCTGCCGTTCGTTCCCGTTTCCCATTTGTGTTTCCCGTCGTTCGCGCGCGTCGCACCGCGTCACGCTCTCTGCTGCAGTGGGTATAAAATTTGTACGCCGTGGAAACGGGTCGCTCGCTTGACGGCCGGAACGAGACGCGCCCGTTTTGCCTCGCGGGGACAGTTGATTTCAATTAATTCCGATCGTGTTTCCGCTTCGCGGGACTCGACGAAGGACGACGAGTGAGATCATCGCGGCAAGACGTCGAACGCAATGACGCGTTCCGATCGGCCTGCGAGGGTCTGAATCTTCCTTGGATCTTCCTGGCGACACGTCCGAGTGGTTCCACGGATGTATCAGTGAAACTCTGTACCCGTTGGACGAATCATCGGCACTACGTGAGAAAATACGCTGCCTCTTTAACGGCCGAGTCTCGTGTTGCCATTCTTCTCGTATATTCATCGGCGCCGGGTGCACGCCCATTTTTTTTTTTTTTTTCTTTTTTCGCGTCACCATTGGCAACCACCGTCCCACAACATCCCGGCGAATTTGAAAATTTTGGATAATTGGGTCAACTTCGATCTTGCGGCTGATCGCGCTCTGAGGGTTCCAAGCGCACGCGCGTGCCCGTGTGTGTTTACTCGTGTGCGTGCAATTTTGTGTTTACCGCATTGGCAAAAGCGCCACGGGGTACATGACCGCGGACTAATGTATGATTAATTGAAGAAAATCAGACCGGCTCTCGTTCGTTATCATCGTACCGGATACGGCGAATTTTTCTATTTATTGATTTTTTTTTTTTTTTTTTTTTTTTTAATGAAATTGGAAGATCCGAGTGCTGTTACATGCTGAAACATTGAAGGGTTTTTAGTTTTCATTTAAAATCTTTCAAAAGTGTGTTTTTCTGAAACAATTTTCTTAATTAAACAATACGATGTGTATTATACGTACATTGAAATAGTGTGTTGAGATTGTATCGACAAGAAGTATAAACAAAACGAATTCTGATTATGTGCATGAAAATTTTAGTAATTCCAGTAATTGAATTTCTGATTATGTGTTGATTAGAGCGTTTAATTTTAATTTTTTCGCGCGCGCACTTGTATACATAATATATATAAAGTGTTAAATTTAACTGTGTTTGACGAAAAAAAAAAAACAATAATAAGTACTACACATTTGTGTACTGTACATTTATTTTCTTCAAAAAACTAGGAATTAATGTCAAGTAAAATAATAAATATAATTAGTTACAATTTTTATTTTTTTTAATATACAATCTTATAAACACTTTCTAAATGATGATGTTAAAATATATATAAGATTTACTTGATAATTTTTTTGTACAATATATAATATTTATTAAAGAGTGAAAATTAATTTGAGACACAAATGATTTATCATTTGTAGTAAAGGATCAGAAAATCATCACATATATTAAAGACTAGCTGCAAGTGAAAATTAAATGATGAAATTAAAATACAATTGATTATAAAACGCCATATTTGGTTAAGGCAGATTTTGGCATATTTTTTTAATACAAACTTATACACAATTTCCGTTCGAATCCCGATTGAAACGATATTTCTTGCAGTCAATTATTTACAGAGTTTAAAAAATGCCTATTAGCATCAATAGTATTAAATTGCGCGTCAATTTAGTTCGTGATATTATCATTTTAGCTTCGATCTAGGACTGTGTTTCAGAATTGAAAAATGGGTGCACAGTTTGCTCGAACTGAGAGATGTATTGATTTATAAAAAATATTATCTGTGAAGAATCGCTTTGACTGAATGTCACGTTTTCTATTCATCTGTGAAGAATCGCTTTGACTGAATGTCACGTTTTCTATTCATCTGTGAAGAACCGCCTTGACTCAATATCACGTTTTCTATTAATTTATATTTTACTGGTGCCCATTTCTACGAATAAAGATAACCTTTAATTTCGGTTCAACTGTTTATCTTTTTCTAAGGGCCAGGGCACACAAAAAACTCAAGTCGTAAAATGTTAAGTGTAAACGAATTGGCCAATCATGGTAGAAACCGTAACGTAAGCAGTAATCAGATCCAACATGTTGATTTTCTTACTGTTTACGTCTTGGCTGATATTTCGTGTGTCGGTCTACAAAGATTTCAAGCCTGTTGATTGGCTGCTGGAAAGAGAGGTTTTCGGATCTCTCCGTTTTGCAGTCAGTCAACAGCAGACTTAAAGTTCGTCGTACGACACATGAAATATCGATCTCATTGTTTAAGTGTTTCTGTGCTATTCTTAGAATTAGAAAAAAATGAAGTCGAATCGAGGTTAAAATTAAATTAATTGGTAGGAATAGGCTCGTGTCTTATTTATCTTTTTGATTGAAACTACCAGAATTTTAATTAATACGGTAAGATTTTTTTTTTTTGCGTATGTTGCAGTAAAAGAATATGAAATTCAATAATTATGTTTATACATTTACTAAATGTATATAATTATTTGAGATTTTGAGAATTATTATCATTAGTAAATACTATTATTAGTAAATTAATATACATCTGTTAAAACTGCTAATAAAAGCATACTAGTTGATCTAATAAATTCTTTGCAATTTACATTTTGTAAAAAATGATTGAATCACATGCAACTTGATATAATTTGATTTTTTTAAATTAAAATGAAACACACATTTATACTAAAGTACAAGTTATTATTTTTGGTTATTAGCTAAAATAAATGTTTATCATAAAATTAAAGAAAAAGGTTATTCGAGGGTACGAAAAAAGATAAATATATTATATATACATGTAATTACATATGTTATGTTTGTAATATACAATATATATGATATATATAATAAAATTGCATACAGTGTGTCCAGTAAGTTTTAACAAAGCGTTATTGTTTCTATTGTGAAGATAGAGCGGTCTAAAATGTCACTTTGAATTATATGTGTTCTTTATGTATAATACATATGCTTCTCACTGAATTACAATAGAATAACATTTGCTAGTGAAAATATCAATTGTCCTTAACTTACTTATCTCTTAATATTTTATTGGCAAAGTTAGTGTATACTCGTATGTACTTACATATAGGATATTTTAAAATTCCAGAATTAAATTACTATAACAAAAATTAGTTATAAGAGTATTTGTTATTTGATTTCATCGCTAATTTTTGAGATACATACATAGATACGTATAAAGACGAAGAACTAGTCAATTATAAACTGCCTTTTAAATTTTTAATCTATAATTGGCCATTTTTTAACCTATATGTTCAAGAATTACTTCTCGGAACAAGAAATAAATACTTTTATAACTTATTCTTTTCGAGAACTTTCTTCTTGTTGTGATATTTTGTGTTGCAAATTTTGGAAAATTTCTGTATAAATCTTTATGATGTGTATTATACCGAGACACTACCGTGTCTCCAGATCATTTATCATTTTACAAACATCTTGAAACCTTTTTGTAATTCAACGGGCAAGATTTCTAAAGGTCTGTTCACATATGTTGATCCTAGCTGTCCACTCCAGAGATCATAAAATCTTTTTTCACAATGGATCTTACTATTTAATGTTAGGGTATATTTGTTCTGTGTTATTGATTATTATTTTAAGAAAAGTTTATTTTTTTTAAACAAAAAAAAAGATCCATTTCATGTATAAATTCTTTTTAGTTTGTATCTGTCGTTCATGTGAAACACAACTTTGCATAAGTATGTACGTCAAACATATCGTTTTGCTTTAGTAAAGTATTCAATACAAAAATGAGACAGTTTCTTCTTTTCTTCTACTTTAAAATATGATGTTACATCTCGTATGTAACAGTACTAGGAGGAGAAACTCGGAAAAACAATTTGAAAGTTTTTGCTGGCAATATATATTATACAAAAGCTGCTAATAAATTATTAATACATTTCTGCTTTTTCTAATTTTTAGGGTATCTTCGAGCAAACTCCGATTAACTTATAGAGTGAATTTGCACTACTTTATTCATTTTTTTAAGTGTCTAAAGGTTCAGAGAATTATAATTTAAAAAGTAACGAATATAAGCGGTTATGGCTTTAACACTCTAAATTTCTTACAATAAAAGTGAAAGATTTTTAAAAATAATTGTATTTTTACTATCTTAGGGTGAAATTTCACTGCAAGAAATTTAGAGTAAAGGTATATCCATCTTACGATTATTACAATTGTACTACAGTTTTTAAAATAAAAAATGTACTGATAGGCGAGTTTTGGTCGTGGTAACCGTTTTTTTGTTATCACCACTTACGGTTATCACAACCAAATGTTTTAAGATGAGAATTATTATCATTATTTCTAGCTGTGGCAACCGTAACATTTTTTCAGTGCATTTTCATTGTACAGTTAGAAATTTTGTCGTAAGCAATTTTGAATTAATTGTCGATTAAGTTAATATGGATTTGGTTGAAGGTGCCATTTTCTTTCGTAATTTTTATCGAGAGATACCTTTGATAAATGAAATTTTGTTTTAGCTTTCTAAGTACGAAGTGACAATGAGATTTGCCGTGTGTATTATTTGCACGCTGGTGCTTGGCACATCAGCCATAGGTGAGTGTAAACAATTTAATCGCTTGCGAATACTCTTTAAATGATAATTTATATAGTTAAGGCCTGATTGCACCAATGTGATTTCGATTTTAAGCGAAACTTAAACTGTCTCTGTCTCTGTCTCCCTTTTGGCTTTAAAACGAGATAGATAGAGTTTTAAGTCTCGCTTAAAATGAAAAAGTGTTGGTGCAACCGGGCTTAAGAGATTTATTCTATTATGCTACGAATTATATTGAATTTTTCTATTAAACCTGTGATTTTTAACTTTTAATTATAGTACGTGTCCCGGGGAATGTAGAAGGTGAAATACACTATTATGGAAACCGTTTTTATTTGTAATCGTGCTTTCTATTATAAACGATCTTTCATTCATCACGCAAATACCATTTTGCCACAGAATAAATTTTCTACACGGGGCTGCAATGTTTTTGTGTATTTACACATTTACACATATACATGTCCCTATTTGTTTACACTTCCAGATAATATACACTTAATATTTTTGTACATTCACGCAATTACATCTGTGTATAGAGTACCTTTGGCTGTTAAAACATATGCGACTTCATGAAAACATTCATGTAAATCATTTGTATGTGAATATTTTATTACCATAAACTTTACATTATTTTGCATATGCAATGCAACACAATTCCAACAATATAACATAAACACAACATGGTGTCAATACAACAATATAAACATACACACAATATAGTTCCATATGAACTGTAGATATTTTTATTAGATTTCAGGTTCGTTAGATTCATGTACTTGTTTGTATGTATCTATACATATCCTTTAAAGAACGTTGATTTTGTTCCTATGTATTTGTTCTCATTCTCTTATATCTTCCTTTAATGTATTTATTTCAATTAAGTTATAGTAAGCTGTGGCTGACCCTTGTTATAATTAAGTTAAGAATCATGAAGATCATCTCTCACAGCCGAGTTTCATTACATTAAACATAAATTATCAATGTTTATTGTTTAGATTACATTTGTGTATTTCTCTTTTATTAGTTTATCTTTATTTTAATGGTACAATTATTCAGCATCTAATAAATTTTTTGTTTATTAGTTCAATCACCGCCACGAATATCTAAACAGCCACCAACGGACGAGCAGCTGTTTCAAGTGGCACAAAAAGGTGTCAATGAAAATGATAAACCATTTCTAATCGAATGTGAAGCGGAAGGAGAGCCAGCTCCAACGTACGTATCTGATTTCTTAGATTTGATTTTTGTTTTGTTTTGTATTATATGTATAGAGTAAATATTTATATATCTTTAAGTCGCCTTTTGTATGATCTGTTGGCATTGTTAGATAGTGCCTTCAGGCACATTTAACAAGCATTTATCAAGGAAATAGCTATTATGTAAATATGAGATTGTGACATTAGACGTTGCTTAAGAACGGAAAACGTACTTTCGGGATATCTCATTCATGAAATCATATTACACTTTCGTCGAACTTATTCATCTCGTGCAGTATAGAGAAGAAGCCGGTGCAACTGCTCGATCTTAATTACAAGGATGATCTCATAACTTTAGGATGTATGAAATAATCGTCACTAATACTGACTTATCTAACCGTACGGGCGTTGGCGCAGCTTTTTATAAACAAATAAAAAATGATTATAGTTTATATAATCTGAAAAATTCAAGGACTCTTTTATATTATATAACAATAATCAATAACATTAAAAAGGGCGAAGTAAGAGTCAAATTACAATTAAAAATCTAAATTTTCTCTGATAATTTAGATTTTTAATTGTAATTTGACTCTTACTTCGCCCTTTTTAATGTTATTGATTATTTTTTAGATAATCTTTATTATAAGAGAAAAAAAAAATTATATTATACATAGTTTTTATTTATAAAAAAAAAAAATTATTTTTAGAGAATAATGAAAAGATAAAAGAATTCTTTATATAAAAATAAATAACAAAGAAAGAAAGGATAATGTAAGAATCAAATTCAAATTAATATAACGTTTGGCTACATAAACGTAAAAACATATAATTGATAGAAAAAATCCTTTAACAGAAAATATATAAAATTGAAAAGCTTAAAAACTACTTAAAAAATATGTATCTAATGTTACAAGTTTCTCTTGGATTGAGCCCTCTTCAGACATCGAATAATCGCAGTACATCGGAATAAGAGAAAATTATTAGAGAAAACAAATTATAAAACTTGTGTATTAAATTTATCATACTATATTATATATTGATATTGAGTTAATTAATAATTAATAATGAGTTAATTAATGATTAATATTTGTTAAGCGATAAATTTAATCAACAATTTATGTACAAATATAGATATACTTGTTACTGTGTAAGATTTACCTTTTTTATTTTTATTATGTGCTAGAAATATGATATTTGATGCATGTTAGAAGAAATTCTGATATTGTATACTTTTATGTAGATATCGTTGGATTAAAAATGGAAAGAATTTTGAGTGGCCAGCGTATGACGATCGCATTTCTCAACAACCTGGTAGAGGCACTTTGGTTATATCAAGACCGAGAGATGAAGACCTAGGACAATATCAGTGCTTTGCTGAAAATGATTGGGGCATAGCTACGTCGAATTCGGTGTTCGTTCGAAAGGCTGAATTAAATTCGTTCAAGGATGAAAACCCGACCACGTTAAGTGCGACTGAAGGTTCTCCTTTTAAACTTACCTGTCAACCACCCGATGGCTGGCCTAAGCCAAATGTTTATTGGCTAATTCAGGATATTGCTGGTGGTATCAAGTCAATCAATAATTCGAGGATGACTCTTGATCCGGAGGGTAATCTCTGGTTTAGCAATGTTACAAGAGACGACGCTTCGGACGATTTTTATTATGCCTGTGCCGCCACATCTGTGTTCAGAAACGAATACAAAGTAGGCAATAAAGTTTTGCTAAATGTAATTTCTACAGGCGCATCCACCGGTCAAAACAAATATCCTCCTGAAAGACAATATGTCACCAGGAAAAATGAGGTTGCTTTACGCGGCAAAAAGGTAGAACTCTATTGTATATTCGGAGGGACGCCTTTGCCACAGATGGTTTGGAGTAAAAACGGTAGAGTGATCAAGCCGAGCGATAGAATAATTCAAGGAAATTATGGCAAGTCTCTTATTATAAAACACGTCAATTTTGAGGACCAGGGGCAATACACCTGCGAAGCATCAAACGGAGTGGGTCGAGCCCAATCGTATTCTATAAATCTACAAGTAATGGCCGTACCGTATTTTACTGTTGAGCCGGAGTTCGTGAATGCTGCGGAGGATGAGACTGCAGAAATCAAATGCGAAGCTAGTGGAGTGCCCGTTCCCGAAATCAAGTGGATCCACAATGGCAAACCGATATCTGAAGCACGGGAAAATAGAAGAAGGAAAGTCACGCCAAATTCCATTATCATTGAGAGGTTGGAGAAAAATGATACGGGAAATTATGGATGCAACGCTACCAATTCATTGGGATACGTTTACAAGGATGTATTTATAAATGTATTGGCACTCGCGCCGGATATCACGCAACCGCCTATGAATTTAAGTTCAGTCGATGGCAGGACCATTCGGATTACATGCCGCGTCTTCGGCGCACCTAAACCCGAGGTCAAATGGATCAGAAACGGACAAGAATTAACCGGCGGTCGTTACAAAATTCTAGATGTAGGCGATTTGGAAATTGAGAATGTGATATTCCTGGATGCTGGTGCTTACACGTGCTATGCCAAAAATAAATTAGGTGAGGTGAATGCGTCCGCTACCTTGATGGTGAAAGAGCATACTAGGATAACGGATACGCCAGAGGATTATGAGGTCGCAGCCGGTTCTACTGCCACATTTAGGTAAAATTTTATAAAGAAATATTGAAATTTTGATAAAAGGAAAAGTAAAAATGTGATCTTATGTATAATTATGAAATATCGCTTATAATTTTTGTTCTGTTTATTCTAGGTGCAATGCTGTTACTGATCCTACTTTACCTCTAACCATAGACTGGCTGAGTAATGGCCAACCAATAGACTTTGAGATGGAACCGAGATTTGTACGAAGTTCCGATTATTCTCTGTTGATCACAAAGACGACCGAATTGGATTCTGGTGTCTACACATGTGTCGCCCACACTGATCTCGATGAGGCGAAATCGCAAGCGACATTGATAGTTCAAGATGTACCTAATGCGCCGAGATTAATCAGTATCAGATGTCAGCCTAACTCGGCCCATGTACAATGGATACCTATGGGAGATAATAGATCTCCAATTCTACGCTACACGATCCAATACAATACTACCTTTACACCGGATACCTGGGAGATAGTTTACGATAACGTTCCAGCTACGGATCTGACATACGAAGTGCCTATGTCACCCTGGGCTAATTACACGTTCCGTGTTCTTGCGTGGAATAAAATAGGTGAGCAAATCTTTGAATTAAAAGGTTATTTTAAGTAAATAAATAAATTGCAATGATATATAATTCGGCACTACATATAATAATATATAATTCAAATATTACACGATTTTTTAATCAATTCACTGATTCAATGGCTATTATCATCTCCTCTTTGGGATAAATACGTTATAAACTGATATATTGACATTGGTTTTTTACGCAGGCACTTCTCTACCGTCATCACACAGCGATGTTTGTACTACCTTGCCAGATCTTCCTCATAAAAATCCGGACAATGTCATGGGCAAGGGTTTAACGCCACAAAATTTGGTTATTTCATGGACAGTCATGCCACAGATAGAGCATAATGGCGCCAAATTTGAGTATAAAGTATTTTATAGAAGAGATATACGGGGTGAAGATTGGATTACAAATAATATACATGATTGGAGAAGAAATACTCTTGTGATAGAAAATCAACCTACTTATCAAAGATATAAAATTAAAGTTGTTGCGATAAATGAGAAAGGAGAAAGTAGAGTTCCAGCCAAAGAAGTTATCGGATACTCCGGAGAAGACGGTAATTCATTGATAAAACTACTCTATTAATTTTATTACGATATACTAAAGTCATACATAAATAAGAGAGAAGAAATCCATTTTTAGTCAAAACAGGCTTTTTGATACTGACAAAGAAAGTTTCGATCTCCTTTAGTATGATGAATCTATATCGATAATAAATTCCATGTTTGAATGTTTTGTTGAATGGCTTTGTATAAAGTATTTTTTTAATGTATAAGAAGATCCCGTAATTATACGTGAAAACTAACTCGTTTTATCGAGATTCAATTTTCCATATAATTAGTCCGGGATTCTTTCATTAAAAAAAGTACAAGGTCCATTTAATAAAACGCTTGGATATAGCATAATTTATTTCCGATGTTTTATCATACTGAAAGAGATTAAAATTTATAAAAATGAATATTATTCACAAGAATATTACTCATCTTTATCAATTTTATGTATAACATATATAATTTATGAGTTTTATAGATTGTGAACCGATTTCATTTGTCAGACTTGAAGCATAATTATAAACTAAAATCATAATTTCACAATTAAATTAATTGATTTAATAACAATTTATCTATAACAAACAATGCTTCTAGTATCTTAAAAATGTGATGAGAAAATTGTGAATAACTTATTGTGAAAAATATTTTAACCGAAATTTGAACGCGGAATTCTGTGCGGGTGTCCTTCCAATTTGATTATCAAAGCATAAGATGATATTAATCGCAACAATGACATATGTAGGAGACCGTCTTTTTCAGGTGAAATAAAATCTGACAAACCGAATCGGTGCATAATCTGAGAAGTAAATTGTGTATATTTGTATATTGTAAGTGTTATTAAGTATCAAGACTCGCTTTGACCGAAAATGATTTCTCATTTATGTTTAAGCACTCTTCTCGGTCTATTTTATTTAATGCGCTAAGATTAATTATTTTAATATTAATACAAGAGAGTGTAAAAAGCCTATTCGAATCAGAACATATTGAATCACTATCCAGTGTTTTGACTCGAATAGGCTTTTTACACTTTTTTGGATTTATTCTATCAAGCCAATAGACTAATTAATATCATTTATATTAATATCAATATATCTCATAACGATTTTATGCGGTTTGTAAAACATTTAATTGTTATTTCAGTACCCCTACAAGCACCCGGCAACTTTACAGTCGATAAACCAATATCTAGTACATCTGCTTATGTGCGTTGGAGTCCGGTACCTGAGGATTCGGTAAGAGGCGAATTACTAGGATACAAAATTCAAACGTGGACGGAGAGGGACGGTGAAAAGGGAATGCGTGAGATTGATATTCGCGGTGGCAATAAAACGGAAGCATTAATCGAGAAGTTTGTTCCATACAGCAAAAATTTCGTGAGAATGCTCGTTTACAACGGCAGGTAACAACAGTTTAATTATATATTTCTATCCAAATTTTACTTCTTATGACCATTTTGTTTTTAAATAACGTTTGTTTTGTTCAGATACAACGGTCCTACGAGCGAAACTTTAAATTTTAATACACCGGAAGGAACACCAGGGACAGTACTCGGTTTAGAAGCATTTCCCATGGGATCCAGTGCGCTATATTTAGCATGGCTGCCGCCCGCAGAACCGAATGGTATTTTAACTGGATATAAAATTTATTATCAGGCTGTGAATGGCACAAAGCTGGGAACGTTACTTGAGAGAAAGCCACATGTTACGAATCCACAAGCTAAGAGTGCCAAATTAGCCACATTAGCGCCCGATACGATGTACCGCGTTCACATACGTGCCACAACTGTTGTTGGTGAAGGCAATGAGTAAGTGTCGCGTGAGTTACAAGAACAAAGTTAAACATTAGTAACATTTGTAGAACTATAAACATTATTTTATGTTGTTTTATATATGTTACTCATAGTTTTAATATATTTTTGTAGCTATTTTATTGAGCAAAAAACAAGAACGTCTCAACGACCTGACATCCCACAATTTATATGGGAAACTATACCAGTGGAGAATGGATATTCAAACGTACGAATCATTTGGGTACCGAATTTTAATGGTAATCCGGGAAGCCATTTCTTTGTCAAGTATAAACTGAGAGGTGAAACGATATTTTTAATGACGGATCCCGAATTCCAGTCGAATAGTATTGAGGTATGTATACAGTAATGATTTTATGCTTAACGTTCTTGGACATAGCCTTCATACATTTTATTAATTCTATTAATCAAAACTTTTATTTATATTAAAGTCTTAGACTATCATGCCTAAATTAGTATGTAATTAATATTATCCTTATAAAAAGATATACTGAACCAGGTGTTGTTGTCAACTTGAGTGTTATTTCGTACCTCCATTGTTCAATTGGAAGTATTTTTATAAAAATTATATGATTATTAAAAATCAGGTTCGCGGTCTTCAAAGCGGTGAAGTCTATGTAATGTCAATTGTCGCTGTCGATGGAGACTACATGAGCGAGAGTGTTTATCAAGAGGTACACACGAGTAGTGAAGGGCCCATTATTCAACCAAAAGAGAATGTAGCGACAGCCGGTTGGTTCATCGGTAATGCTTTTCTTTTTAATAAAATTTTTAGACCATTTTTTTTTACGACTGACATCAAAAACGCTGTTATATTTTTGCAGGAATGATGCTAGCAATCGCTATCCTCCTTTTAGTATTGATAATCGTATGCGTAATTAAACGAAATAGAGGCGGAAAGTATGCGGTACACGAGCGAGAATTGGCCGCTGGACGTGGGGATTATCCCGAAGAAGGTGGATTCCACGAATACTCGCAACCATTGGACACCAAATCGGCTGGTGGACGCACGTCTTTGGCGTCTTCTTCTCATCAGGATGGTAAACATCCTGAATCTGATACCGATTCCATGGCAGAGTATGGCGATGGTGATACAGGTAATAGATTTAGAATTTTAAAATCATTAAAAATATCTATAGTATTGGAAAATTTCTTGATACATAAACATGGTATATAATTAAAAATATTTGCTACACATATTCTTCAAGTATCAAATATTATATGATACCTGAATAGAGTTATGCGTCCATACATACATTTCTACATTGTCGTCAAATTCCTCTAGTTTTAAATCATCGAGATCGAATAAACCCTCTATTTTCAATTGCTCGGTTCGTATTTTAATAACACATGCACAAGATGTGCGTTTAATTTTTAGAGTCAAAGAACAGATTTGTAGAGTCGAAAAATAGAAGATGTATGTATGTACGTATAATTTATGTCGTAGTAAAAAAATAGTAAAAGAAGCAGTGCAAGAGGAAAAATTGGGTAATAATATATATTAATTGAGAATAGAAACGTTAAATAGAGAAGAAGTTTAGGAAAGAATTTGACTTTTATAAAATAGGGTACGTATTGTTAATTGTTGTAATATAGACAAATGCATCACATTTTAATATTTTTATAATATTTTTAATATTTTCATATAGAGAGCACAATGAAATAATCTCATATTTCATGTAAGCACAGCTGAGTGTATTTTCACTATTATTTAAATCTTGTATCATATAACCGCTTTTCCTTTTGTATACACTTCACAGCCGCAGTTGCATCAGTTATATTTATTTATATATTTGTTTTAGACTATTTTATTTTTAATTTGTTACTTATATTTTATTATTTATTTTATTTGCTTTATTGCTTGTGACTCAATACCAGAGGGCATGAACGAAGATGGTTCTTTCATTGGTCAGTATGGCCGACATCGTAAGCAGGAACCAAATTCGCAAGCATTTGCCACCCTAGTTTAAGGTAAGTTTAATAAATATGTTCTTGAAATGTGATACGGTTGAAATATGAAATACAGGTTCCCAAAATTTTCTATGTATCTTTTACATTCTTTTGACTGACAATCTATTCTCCAATCAGTCTTATGTAAAATCGATGTATAAATGTCAAAATCTGTTCCATCGACTATTAATCGAGATCGCTCTCATACAAAGTCTTCCCAATACTCATTTTTAACACTTTATTTGCTGCATCCATGTTTTAGCAAATTAATTTGAAAATTAACGTACTTGTATAACATCTAATAACACTACACGCTGATGTTAATAGCATTACTTCATTTTAAAATTGAAAAAGAAATGTATGTATACAATATAACGTCATCATACTTTTATATATTTTCTGTATAAATAATATAATTTATTGTTTGTTCTAGGACGCTTTACAGAGGATGGATCCTTTATTGGACAATACGGACCTAAAGGTAGACCAGAGGGGACACCACCTATTCCAACTGGTACTATGGCCACGTATGTGTAACATCCGCAACTAACTTAATCAAAGCCGCATAAAAACTTTTTTCTCATTACGGTTAAGGATCCTCCTGATCCTCGACTATTGCAGCAGCTCTGCTATGCACCTTGCGCTGGGCGCAATGTCCAACACTATACTGCCAATTAGACTCTGGGTTTTGGGTTTTATAGTTTCTGTAGGAAACCATGATTGTCTTTTACAATTACTCAAAATACTGTAAATCATCACTAATTATGACTTTGAGTTTAATGGAGTTAAAATACTATAAACATTCCAAATTTTTTAACTAGATCTTCTATACAATGGAAAAATAGTATGTGAAAGATTAATTTTTCTATGATAATTATCTACTTTACAATATATATCACAAATGTTGACGATCAACCATATCTCTATTTTAATTATAAAACCCAAGAACATCATAGGTGTTACATAGCGTGCAAGCTATTTATGGAAATAGTACCGTAGAAACTATTCTAGCATTGATCGTAATATCTTTGACAAAGCCAGGTTGAATTAGACACTCCGATTGGTGGCAAAATATGCAAATTGCATTCGTGTTATTCCAAACTCATGTAAATGGGAAGTACTTTCAAGACTGCATGTAATTTCCAAACGACACTATTTCTAAATTTTACATGTTGGTTTCTAGATTTTTAATTTTATAAACCTGTTTACATTTTTTAATATAAATAATTATATAGCTACAATTAAAATAAAGTGAAGATAAACGTTGCTTATTTCGTTACAAGTACTGAATTGTCTTTAAAATATTTTGTTTATATCAAAGTAATTATCTATTTATAACTATCAGAAATTTGTATTTTTTATTTAAATTAAAAAGATTTTAGTTTGTAAACTTTGCCAATAAGGGAAGATATTTTGCAATATTAAATTAACTAACCGAATTAACTTTCTTTTATTATAAACGTATAGAAAAAAATTATTTTTAAGAAGTTTAAGTACTTGTACAGATAAGCAATAAATTGAAAAATTTATTTAAAAAAAATTTTTATCATATTAGTATATTATGTTGTGTATGAGTGGCTATATTCATAAGGAAAATATTAAATCTTGGTGCCTGTTGGACTTTATAAATACTTATAATACAATGACTACTTATTTTTAACATGCAATTTGTAGAAGTGATTCCTTTCTTTAAATTAAATATGTGTAATTCTCGTAATATAGCATTTGCATAAAAAAATCATTAAAATCAATACAGTGAAATATAAAGAACGCCCAATATTATATTAATTATTATTATTGAATGACAATGCATTTTACATGCAATCTGGAAAATAATTACTGTAAAAGATAGTGTCGCGCAATCTGGCTTCGACTGATTTTAACTTTAATCTTATAATGGACGATTACATTAAGAACCTTCAACCGCGATCAATTTTTACTCTGCCGAAAAATGGCCAAATCTAAACGAACGCATAATAATCTATAATTAATGCACTTACACTTTTATTATTAACAAACACATTTTACACACACGTGGACGCTTGTATGCGCGGATAGTAAGGATACGCGAAAGATAGTAAAGAGTAAAGTAATATTAAAGAGAAGATTGTATATGCACTATAAGTAGATAACAGAAATCGCAAGGCCTCTATAAGTAACTGTTGCTTTTGTATGTGAAACATGCTTCGATGAAAACCTTTTTATTTTTATGAGCGTTTGCTTTTTGGTAATTTTATTATAATCCAATAATTATATAAGATTAATGCTATGATTATTTAATATATGAAGATATTAAATATATAAATATATATATAGAGAGAAAGAGAAAGAGAGAGAAAGAGATAGAGAGAGAGAGAGAGAGAGAGAGAGAGAGAAAGAGAGAGAAAAAAGAGAGACATTATATATATTATATATATTAATTATGAATTATTACGCGAGTAATTCTTAAAAACGCGACGCGATCACAACAGAGCAAATATAATTATTATTACTTAGTGTATGGGATGTTAAAATTTGTTTAGACTTTAAGTACAATTTGTACAATTTGTTTAGATAACCGTTAAGTTAATGTAGTCATTGCGATGTACAGGTTGTCTGCAAAAGTGTCGCAAGCAAATATGTCAGGTACAAAGATAAAGTGAAACAAAGATAGGTACAAAGTGTATAATATTTATGATACGTATGTACGAAGAATCACAAAGTATAGTATTCTTAAATGATATATCTTATACCGGACTGGACAGCATCCTTTCATGATAAATTCTTACGAAATACGTCCTTATGCTGAATACAGAATTATTCTTCTAATTGAAATATATTTGTTACGGAACTTTTTTGCCGAACATCCTGTACAGGTGACTTGGACGTCACACAATTAAGATTATTTTTCTTGGATTGAGTCATCAATAATTTCTACCAAATATTCATTTTCTTGGAAAATTCTTTAAATGAATCACGTGGCGAGTAACTTTTAATTTTTATCAGAGCAGATAGACTTTTCTTCTTTTAAAACTTAAAACTAAATAATAGTATCTTTCGATCCTAACAGTTGAAGATTTATTACTGTAAAGAAAAAGAAACCTTGAAGTGTGACTTCAAAAAGGATAGACGTAAAAAACTTAAAAGTGCTATTCGCCATATGATACTTAGGAAAGGATCAGCTGAAGATAACGGCTGAAAAATATACAGCACATATGATGGCCTTGACCAGTATGAAATCAATTTCCACGCCTTCTTTTCAGACTTATGACTACAAAAAAAAATCAACAGTAGTACATTTTTCTGATTGTGATAACTTTATAAAGAATCAAAACCTATGTCATACAATCAATTCATATAGTATAGCAGCACATGCAAAGTGTTAAAAAAGTGCTTATGCAGATGCACAAGATGCTTCATATATTATTTATACTTATCGCATTGCAGCTAGGAGTGAGATTTCGATAATAATATTCTCGTTTTCTGGATTCGAGTTATTCTTATTCAACGATTTGATGTTGTAGGCGATCTCTTTCATCCCAGATCTCGTGATCGCGGCGATTGACATGCTTCAGCTTATTACTGCGAAACTCCCCTTCCTTCAGGAAATACTTTTGCTTCAGGAAGCACCGAATATGATTCACGCATCTCTAATTTATCGAGGATATTGACGAGAATACCAGCATTTTGAGGATTGCAGTTGCAGCAAAAATTACGTCATTCTCAGATATCATGATCATTTATCAAGAAATCGTTTACAAGAAATCGATCTTATTTATTGTCTTGATATGCGAGACGCAGATCGCTTAATTAATATAGATTTATCACCTCTTGCCGACTAATTCTTATTTAAGTTTCTCGGAGATTACCATGGTCAACAAGTTTTGCATTCTGCACATAAAACCCATGATATCGACGTCGCAGACGAAACATCACATCTGCTTCTTTGCTCTTTCATTATTATTATTTTCTTTGTCCATAATTCCGAAAATGCAGGCGAAACATAGAACGTATTTTCATTGTTAGAATCGTTAAAACTGGTCAAAATTGCCGTAGAATATGCCGTCCAATATTCATTTTTTTTTTTCTAACTGCTGTCAATTCTGAAGCGTTTTTTGTGCGCCTAACTGAAGCAGGTATTTTTAAATATTTTTTTTTAGAGGAAATTATATGTTTTCAAGCAAACTTTATGCCTCAAAAATAATTTTTGGATTAATGTAAATTGAAATCTGCCGAGTTATTTTACACGCAATAAAAATAGCATAACTGATAACACTTTTGAGCAACGCAGTCTGAAAGGCATTTCGAAAACGCTTTTGCACGCGCTGTTGTGCTATGTGAAAATAAAGAAAAGAGATAGAAGTTACTTGTGACTCGATCCACAATGTATTGGCTTATCATAATAAGAAATGAGTGTTTTGGTATTATTATATATCCGTTATGATGTTATTACATATTGACGTTAAAAGGAAGTTTACTTTAATTAGATAGAAAATAAACTAGGCGGTTGCGCGACGACTGTTAAAGACTGGATAAATGGCGTCATATTTGACCGAAGAAATTATAAATTTATCCGATGCGATACTAAATTTATTGTACGTATACGATAAATGAAACACAATGACGGGCGATATTAACGATACAGCGAGACAATCTGGTATCGCCGATACACATTCAACAATATGTACAATTTCTGTGTAATTTCTGACCTTGCAATCGAAACTGCAGTTACATAGATAAATATAATATAAAACCGTATATATATTTTCTTGATTCGATATTTAAGTATATAATTACTGGCAAAATTGACGACGAAATGTTTCGAATCTCGATGTCCAAGTCACACATACACAACACATGTACACGAGCGCATTTACATTTTTAGAGTATTTTTCTATTGCGCTAACCTCAATATTTACTGAAACATAGCGAGATTCGTTTATTCTGCACGTTAAATAATTAGTTGAGAACTAATGTTGTATACATATATATATTATATATATAAACTTCCAATACTTTCGCACGAGCAACTTGTATTTTCATACGTTGTATTATTCTTTTATATTTCTTTTCTTTTTTTTTTTTTATAATTTTGTACTTTGTATAGAAATCCGTTTGCGTTATTTGCGCGATCGTATCTATAATAATAGACGTGTGCTTTGCGGCAGCCATCGGTCTTTCGATTGAATTTCCGAGATATTTCTATTACCTTGACAGAGGGCGAGAATTTACTGCTGTTCTGCTTGATATTAGATTGCGTTGATAAGGAAAACGATTCGTGACTTATTAAAGAGTGTTCATTGTATAACGAGCACACGTTACTACGAAAAAAAAAAAAAATGTAAAGTCTTGACTCTTTTTATAGCACATTTTTATAGAATCTCAATTATTTCATAATATGTGTTCATTCGATTAGCTCAATCGCATCATGTTACATTATATCGATTGCCCTATTGTTAAGTGATGATGGAACAAAGCGAGGATAATCCTATCAAGTGGTTGATAATTAGCGTTCCTATTTAACGTGTTTTTCAACTTTCCGACTTCAATATCGTCAAACATTCGTTACTTAAAGGGTGTTAGGATAACGCTGTTCCATAGTAACTGCTATAAAAAGAGCCAACACAGAAATGATGAATCTCAATAATGTAATTCAACGTGTGCCCGTTGACCGTGCAAATCCTTTAT